GCGCGCGAACCAGCGTCTCCTCTGCGCCGTCCCTGGCATCTTCCTCTGACAGCCACAAGCTCAAGCAATCATGACCATACCCACAAGCACCATGTTTTTGCTGGTTTGTCCTTTGATACAGTTTATCTCCACGGTGAATAGGAGCTCGTTGTTGAGCCCTTGTTCAATGTGCTACATATTTGCTGATCTCAACAGCCTGTCTGCTTTCGCGCTTCATCCCCACACAAACACACACCTCTGGATTGGCAATCGTCTTGCTTGTTGTGCGCTGGTTGCTTGCTGCAGAATTTGTTACCGTGACTGCTCTCTTGGCCAAAGCCACCACATTAAATTACAAAGTAATCGAATCACACAAGAAGCAGAAGCAGCAGGTGACGATGCAGCTGCGAATGCCGTGCTGTCAACCACCGATGCGTGACAAGGACGCAAACGGAATCATGCACAGACACACAAGACACGCAGCATACGCAAACCAAAGCAGACACACACAAACACACGCACGCGCACATGCGAGCAGAGTATATGTACAAGCGATCCTGATGGCGTGTACAGCAAGTCGGCAACAAAGGGTGGCAGAAGCAAGCATCGGACACGTGCAAGCAATGGACAGCGGCAGGGAACAAAGACAAAGGCAAAGCAACCCAGATATATAATGATGATAAAGCAAGGAAGCGAGCATACAGGAGCCGAAGGTTTCAGATTCAAATAAGCATCAAGAGCTGAAAGCACAAAAGACAAGTAAGAGAGAGGGAGAGGGGGGGGGGAGCATGCAGTTATTCGAAAGCGCTGGAGAAAAAACCAATGTCCTCAACGTCAGGGAAGAGGTCATCGTGATTCGGTGTTGTTGTTGTTATTGTTGTTGTTGTTGTTGTTGTTGTTGTTGTTGTTGTTGTTGTTGTTGTTGCTTGGGGGAAAGTGGCAGCGACTTGAGCGCAGGCGCAGGTGAGTGTTCGCTGCAGACACCATCAGCAGCATCAGCAGCAGCAGCAGCATCAGCAGTCCACAACACCATCGGCAACAGCAGCACAAGCAACCTGTCATTAGCAACCTTCCTGTATTATTGGGCGGTGGAGGGCCGCATGTCATCTGTGACAAGCTTGCCGTTTGCCCACGTGCCTGCAATGACGCGTCCAGAGGGGAGGCGGAGGGTGCCTGCACCGTGCTGCTGGCCGCTGTGCCATTCGCCCGTAAATGTCATGCCGTTGGGCCATGTCTGCGTGCCCTGGCCGTGCTTCTTGTCGTTGAGCCAGTGGCCGTCATAGCGCGAGCCGCTTGGATATGTGACAGTGCACATGCCGTTGCGCTGGGCCATCGCGGAATTCGCCCTGGCAGTGCAGGCCGGACTTCTCCTCAACGGTTGCGGGTCCATTGAGGTACCCGCTCTCCCACTCTCCCCTGAAGCACGCGCTGGCGGTGCGCAGGATGCCCTGGCCGTGGAAGAGGCCGTGGTGGAAGTTGCCCTCGTACTTGGAGCCATCGGGGAAGGTGATGGTGCCGTGCCCGTTCCTCTTCTCCTCGTCAAACTCGCCGTCGAAGACGGTGCCGTTGGGGAAGCATTCCAGCCCGCGACCCACGCGCTTGCCTTCCGGCGTGCAGTCTCCCACGAAGAAGTGGCCCTTCACCGCCGCGGGGCTGATGGGGGTCACTTGACCATCCACCACCTGAAACACACCCTGCGCCGTGGAGCCCACGTCCAGTCCAAACATGTACAGCTTAGGCGGCTCTGCAAGCACGTAGCATGGTGTTTGTGGTGTGCGCCAACATCAATACGAAACGTGGGTGAATGGAGGGAGTGGACAGTATCGGCGCAAGTTGTCAACGCGTGTGCACAAAGCATTGCATGAAGATGAAAAACGGTCGAGTTGGAGATAGAGTCAGTTGGAGAAAGTGAGCACAGGACAGTGACCTAAAGACACTGATGTCCAACCCTTCTTCTTCAAAACACATGTACGCACGCACAGACACAAACCTTGCACGGCAGGAGCGGCTGACTCTGCCCCCTTCTTCTTTCCTTTGCCTTTTGGCATCCTCGCTATTGTATGTGTGTGTGTGTGTGACGTGAAGAAGGGCCGTTGGTGCAGCCAAGGACAAGGGGGTTTGCCTAGCTTGAAATTCCTGCAGCTGGACTTGTTGTCCGGAGGCGCGCCGACCTGTGTGTGCGTGGGTGCGGGCAACAACACAACACTGCTGTTGTTGAGGGTTGGTGTCCGGGATGGATGGTCGTGTGCAGCTGAGCGAGGCAATCTTCACGTTTGAATAAATGCATTGGCAAGCACAGGCCATGCAGACACACACACACACATATGAGCAGACACACATGCGTCGACACACACACACACACACACACACATGCGCGCACATATGGATACGCGACATGCATACAGTGCATACGTCATGAGTTGTGGTTGGCAACAAGGGAAGCAAGTCATGTCACGGACATTGAGTTGGTTGGTCACCTTGTTGTTTG